AAGAGAAGCAAGCTGCATGGACATTTTATGGACGCGCCGAGGCGAGCGCGATATGCAGCTGTGCCATGTTGGATGTTCGCGAATCGAAATGGATATGCGAGATGGATCGTATATCGGTAGTTTTGCTTGTACTTCGAGTGATGGGAACCCCTGCGAGACAGATTTCTGCGAGTCTGTTGTCAAAGTACAAGGCACGTAAGGAGAGTTGGTATGCTGGTGCATTTCTTGGCGTATGGAGGCAAATTGGGAATTCAATCCAATTTGGACCTGATATCAAACAAGACTACCCGCTGAACTTAAGCATATCATTAAGCGGAGGAAAAGAATTTGCACCAAGGCCAAGCAAGGGTCCATCTTGAACCGCTTTGCCAAGCCGCCTTCTCCCCCAAGATGGCGGCGCAACCAGCTCGCTTATCATAGCAAGGTGCAACCGCGACGAGCGAAAACCTCTTCGTAACTCGACGCTCTTTTACCCGACCCACCAGTCCCTTCTTGGGCCAACACGAGCCCCGTTCGTCTTACTCGTCGTAGAGGCAACAAGAGACAAGTGCATAGCACGTCGGCGCGGCCAACGACGCCAGCAACCGCGTCGCAGTGGATCGGATGCACGGCAAAGAGTGCGCCAACGAGGACATCATAGCTGTAGCGAGCGGTCGTGAGGACGGTTCGGCTCGGTCAACACCGTTGATCCGACTATGCAGCCGTTGAAACCCGTCACGCAAACAGTCTAACGGTGTAGTACACTATACATGTAATACAAGCTAAAGAGCCCCTTCCCATGCGTCGCAGTTGGTTCGTGCGCGCGAGCCATGGGACGAGGCCTTGCGAAACACACAGTTATGTCTTCTCGCGCTGCTTCAAAGCACCGCGCCGCGTCCCATCGTATGCCACTTTGCACAGCTCATTTAACAGTTTGCAGTTTGCGCCAACCAGCTCACGACGCCAATGAACCAACAACAACCCACAACGACTGCCTACGAGATCCAGCCCACACCAACGGTCAAGCCTGTCGCTCCCGACGGCATGGAGGCCGACGCCAACAACCTCGTCGTCGGTCAGTGGAAGGTCGGGATCTGTGGCTGCTTTACCGACGTCATTCCCAACTGCTGCATGGCCTATTGGTGCCCGTGCGTCTCGCTCGCGCAGATCGTGCACCGCATCGGCACCTGCTCGTACATGATGGGCCTCCTCGTCTTTGGACTTGCGTACCTCTTGATGTACATCACGGCGGCCGTCTCGGGGGGGTATCACTACTCGGCGATCGCCTCGGGCAGTGCTGGCGTGGCGTGCGGCATTTGTGTCATGATTGTGCGCAACATTGTCCGCGGCAAGCTCCGGATTCCAGGCAACTGCCTCATCGACTGTCTCTGCGGCTTCTTTTGCAACTGCTGCGCGATCGCGCAAATGGCGACGCAAGTCAACGCGTACGACAAGGGCACGTGCGCGTTCGGGCCCAAGGATACGCTGCCGGGCTACATGGCGTAGACTCTTCTCCTGCAGAAGAGTTACACGAACGGGCGCGTCGTTGTTGTTGTTGTTGAAGTGGGCCGTCGTGTCAGGTGTCAGCATATCCTGGCACAGGGGCGTTTATGGTATTCTGTTGCGTGACCGTCCATCGGCTGCTCGATGGCTCGCCAGTATACAGAACATTCCTCGCAACGATGTTTTCTATGTCAGTTCTGGCGATGATATATACCACTCGCTTGACAGTCGTCTTGACTGACTGGGGCAAACTCTTGCCGCCGCACAACGTCTAGCATGTGAGTAAACTTCAGAAGTTGGATCGGCGTCAACACTTAATCCTTTGAGGCTACATAAACATGTCGGACGTTCTTCGTCGGGTGACGGGCATGATCTAGGGAGACGGCGACGGAAGTGCGATCCGCGGGACTAGTGTAGGTGCGGGAGTATTCGTTGATGGCGTTGACAGACGTCATGACGACTCCTTCCACAAACGGCAATCGATATGTTTATTGATAGAAGTCTTCTGCGCTTCGCCGTGGAACTGGAGCATCGTGTCGAAAAAGGGGTGTCATAAAAACGCAACTTTTGACGAGACCGGTGCCACCGGACCCTTGTCCCTCCACGTCAGCGCGACGCCCTCTTCTGTGTGTGGTCCGCTTGTACTCGACGATATTCCGTGACAATACACCTTCTGCAAGAAGCCAGCAACCGTGCTTTATCGATGCACCGCAGTAGCAAGAGAGGCCTCAGCCCACTCTCACTATCCTACTCGGTGCAAAAGTACAAAAAAGATTCGAGTTCAACCGTACCCCTCGTAATTCGACACTAACGACCTCAAATACAAGTATAACGCTCAACCTCACCCACGAGACTAGTTCGCTATAACGAGACAATCGTCGTCCGTGTTGCTTGTTTACGTCGTTTGGAAAGACGTTGAGGACCGTAATCCAACGTCAACGCAATCTACTATCCATTCGGTACTATATCCAAAGTATCGATACCATGGATTAGACTGCAGTACACTCTCCTCGAAGCTTCTCGACGCTCCATACCACAATACAACCGCGTTGGCTCGCTCGTTGGGTGCGCAAGTAGCCGCGGTGTCGCCAATATACAATGCCATGGCCCGACCAATATATATTGCATAGGCAATATGAATATTAATAGCGGTGTTTTTAGCAGCGTGATTTTAAAACACATCATCTTTGACGTTTCGAGCGAGCATGGAGGGCGTCCTGTGGAAGCGCGGGCGCATGCTCGTGAGCTCCTGGCACGAGCGCTACTTCGTGCTGAAGGACTGCACGCTCGCCTACTTCTCCAAGGCCGGCGACCTCCAGACGCGGGGCATCCTCGAGCTCGGGCCCGACGCCAGCGTCTCGTCCATCGAGCTGCGCAAGAAGGGCGGGTCCAAGTCCCTCTACTGCTTTACGATCGCGCCGCATGGCGGTCACCACGCGTCCTCGACCGTCGTGCATCACCACGGCGTCGGCCACGAGAGCGGGCTCATGGTCGGCTGCGAGTCGCGCGAGCTCGCGAACGTGTGGCGCAATGCGATCATCCAAGCGATCCAGCTGCCCGGCGAGAATCTTGGCGTGCGCTCGCCCAAGGAGCGCGCCTCGTCCGCGTCGATCGCTGCGCTGCCGCAGCACGACAAGGGCCGCCAGATCCTCCTCGAGAAGATGGACCGCAAGTGGCCTATGTTTAGCGGCACGTACAACGTGCTCAGCGTCCTCGGCGGCATGCAGATCTACTACGAGCAGTTCAACTCGGCCAAGCACACGCATGGCTTTGCGGGCCAAGAGTGCCAGAGCTGGCAACAGCTCAACAGCATGCTCGTCTCGACGCTGAGCGCCAGCGTCATTGCCGCGATCGCCGGTACGTTCTTCTCTTCAGGCAAGCGAATGACACTATTTGCCTCAGGCGGGATTGGAGGGACGTCAATGCTGACGGTCTTTGTGTTTTCGCTTCTCGCCGCTGGATTCACGTTCTGGACCAAGTCGGGCCACGCGCTGCACAGCGCCGACGTACCCAGCTTCAAAGCCACGCGCGTGATTCCCGGCACACCGACCGAGGTCTTTAACCTCCTAATGGACACGGACGCCCGCGTCATGTACATACTATCAAGAGATACGAAGACGGTAGCTCAGACGTCGCGTAGGTGGGACGCGTCCGTGCAGAGCGTTCGCGTGCTGCAGACGATCGACTCGCACTCGGACATCCTGCACGTCGTGTACAAACCCGTGTGGATCTGGCCCATGTACAACTTGTCATTCGTTGCCTCTTTGCTCATTTTTGTCGTGCATTAGGTGGCTGCCGGGCTGCGACGTGTGCTTGTTGCGGTACTGGCGCGAGACAGAAGACGGCTCGTATGTGATTTGCATGCAAAGCGCTGTGCACTCCGAGTGCCAAGTGTCGGACAGCACGCGCGCGCTCTGCCACGGTATGTATTTTGTGCCATTTTGTCATTTATGCCATTTTTGCCATTTTTCCGATATTTATTTTCTGGCTATAATAGGCGGTGGCTTTACGGTCGCGCCGCCGACCAACGCAAACACGCTGGAGGAGCCCACGTCGCTCGTGACGTTTGTCATTCACATGAATCCCCAAGGGTCTGCAATTTCTTTCTAGAGTCGTCGGCTCAACTCGGTGTCTAGTCTCTTTGGTGTCTTTCTGCGCCGGCTCGACCTCCTCTTCCACTACATCAAGCCGCAGATCTTTGCGCTCGTGGGGCTCGAAGAAGCCATGGAAGCCCGTCAGTACAACATGCTCACGCTTGCCGACGTGCTGCACGGCGACGACGACGCGCGGCCCGGCGAGCCGACATCCGAAGGACCTGCCGCGCCGGCGCCGGCGCCCGTTGCGCGCGCACCGCTCTTGCCGTGCACGCTGCCCAACGAAATGTGGAGCGAGCCGCCGCCGGGGCTCTTTATGGTACTACGAATGACTCTGGCTATGTTTTTACGTCATTTGGTGTATTTTGTCGCTAGGTGCGCGGCCCCGACTACCACAACGACAAGCGCAAGGTCGCGTCGGCGCCGCCAGCCTTCCAGCTCGTGGCCTGCGACCTCTTTGACACGGGCGCGGTCTCGATCGAGAACATTTGCGCGCGGCCCGACAACCTTGTGCAAACGCAGTCGATTGACGGCTTTGTGTTTGCGATCAACTTGCTCTTGCCGGGGTCGCCGCGCTACTCGCTCGTCCTCTACTTCCAGGTCGTCGACCAAAGCGTGCTCGCAGACGGATCCCCGTTCGCCGAGCTCATGAACGATTTTCTCGAAGGGTATACAGTGCGATATTGTTGTTGCCATGGCCTATTATTGCGTTTGTAGGACCGACGAGTACCGCAACGAGCGCTTCAAGCTCATCCCGTGCATCGTCGAAGGCAACTTTATGGTCCGGCAAGCCGTCGGGTCGACGCCGGCCATCATTGGCACCAAGTTGCGACAGCCGTACTTCAAAACGGACAAGTACTTTGAGCTGGACGTGGACATTACGAGCAGCGCGGTCGCGAACCGTGTCACGGGCCTCGTGCTCGGCTACACGAAGAAGCTCGTGATCGATATGGGCTTTCTCATCGAGGGCCGGCAGAGCCAGGAGCTGCCCGAGCGCCTCTTTGGCGCGTGCCGCATGGCGTACGTCGACATGACCGTGGCGACGAAATTGGCCCGATGAGCAACCATAGCACCCCGATACTAGGACGACGCGTAGCAAGCTAGTATATGGTCGCTTGCGCTTGCTGTAAACCATCGTCTTGCCATGGTCGAGTCTGCTGCGGGAGCAAACAATGCGACCGTAGAGCTCGTAGCTCCGGTCGCATCCAGCTGCCGTGTTTAGTTTGTTGGATTCTTTAGGTCTCGGGGGGTTAAGCAGTGATATTCGAGAAGTTGGTGATACGTACAAGAGGGTGGCGACGGGTCTTGTCGAGCAAGAGATTCGAGGTGTCGCCAATCATCCGGATCGTTTGCACCATCCGGATATGGGTGTGCTGGTGAAGACATAGTGATTCGTTTTCGAAGAGAAGTCCGCGGTGCGCGTTGGTGGGTGCAATCATTTCCCAACAATAATTAGCTCCTTTTACCGTAAGTGCTATCGTTCGATACGGGGTTGGATGTTAAATCTGTAGCTTCTTGGGATGAGATCGTCCTTTCTCCTTGGTCGATGGATGCAAATGTGTGAGAAAACAAGCCCGTTTACAGTGCGTTCGACGACGTCAACCGACAACGTTCGCACCCTTCGATTGGAACATGACTGCTGACGTGGCCGCAGTTGACCTTCACATTGGATTTGACGTACACCGACAATCATGTCGCGCGTCGTCTTCCCGCGCACCACGATCATGTCCTCATCGCGCATTGGCACGACCAACAAGCTCCCGTCCACGTCGTCACGTCGCCGCCAGTACCGCGTGTACATTCGGATTTTCTCCAATCTACTGGCGGCGGCCGTCATTCTCATCTCGCTCTTCACAATGGGCGTCTTGCTGTCCGAGGGCATGTTCAATCGGCTCGTCATCACGTGGTATTACCAAAATGACGCCGACTACTGGGCCGACTATGGCGCCTCGTGCGAACTCGCGCACGATGGCTTTGTCAGCAATTCATGCTCGCCCATGGAGGCCAACATGACCGAGACGTTGGCGGCATGGACAACCCTCGGTTTACACCTCGCAACAACGTGGGAAGCAAGTGGCGCCAGTCCGCTCAAGGTCACGACGTGCTTGGTGGGCGGGACACCGGACGTCGGGTGGGTCGCACTCCAGTTTATCGGCGGCTACGACGACTTTCCGAGCTGCAACCCAAGCAATGGGAGCCAGCTCGTCGCTGGTATGGCGATGGTCGAGGCCGCCAACCTGGATACTGTCTACCCCGACGGCGCCTACCTTCTCTCGATGTTTAGCGACGCCAGTATGCACGACACGACAACGTACTGGAACACCGATGGCACGAGCAACACGGTTGTCGCCAACATCACGCGGGTGCTCGTGGGACGCGACGGGTCGAGCCAGCGCTACGACGCCGGCACCAACTCGGTTTTGAATTCGCACCCGCTCGGACATCGGTACCTCGTCCAAGGCTACTGCATTTCGCAAATGATCATTCTTGACGGTCTCCTAAAGGACCAAGCGGGCTGGAGCACGGGCCGGAATCTCAAGAAAAGTGTCGTGCCTGGCTGGGCCTGCGGCCACCGCGTCGCGCACGCCACCGAGCTCCTCCTCTTGCAAGCGACGGCCGGTCTGCTTTCGATTCTAGGTCTCGCACCCGACATTTTCATTACGATCAAAGGCCTCCAAGGTGTCATGTCTAGTAAGCCCGTGCTCACCTACGACATTCTCTCGGGACTGGAGCGCCGCAAGACACTCCTCCTCTTCGTTGTGCTCTGCGCTGCGCCGTCTCTGCTCTTTGTCGACGTCGCGCGCATCTACTTTGGCACGACCAATGGGCTTCGTATCTGGACCTTCTCGATCATTTCGCTGGGCATTTTTTTGCGTTTGGGAGCTTTCTGTGCTTGACCTTCTTGCAGTACATTCCCAGTCTACCCAAACTGCGGCATCGCTTACTGCCCATCTCGGTCGCAGCGTTTTTGTATACGGTGATACCTGCGACGACGTGGACGACGATCGACTCGTACGAAGTGTTGAGCAACCTTTTCTACGCGGGGTCACCGACGATCTTGATGACAATCAACGAGACAGCGTACCCGTGTGGCGCGTACGACGCAGCGGGCATCGAGACGGCCGGGAGCTTCTTGACACCGTTGCTTCTCGTCCCGCTCTGCATTTGCGGGGGCTGCAGCGTGCTCTTTGGCATGTGCGAGCTTCGCTGCGCTGCGAAGCGCTGGATCATTGACGCCAACTGGACGACCGAGAATGCGTTCATGACGGCTTGCGGTGTACCCAACTGGTTCACGTGTCTCCCGCTCGACAAGAACGAAGCCATCAAGATTGGCAACCGCCTCTTCTGCAAGCCGAGCATGCAAGCGCGCATGGGCTACGCCAACGTGACCGTGCAGCCCATGGCGAACGCAATCCACGTCCGCCCTGCCCACGCAGCGGAAGAGAAGACGTACTTTCTCGTTAGTATTTACGACCTGCTCGTAGCCATCACGCCCCGACGCCTCCGCCTCTTTGCCCCAAAGCTGGCGGGTGCGATTACCAAGAGCATCTTTCAGAAACCGACCACGACGCGGCTCGACGGCAGCCAGACCTACGAACACAGCCGCGGGTCGTGCGTTGGCTAACTACGGTGCAATTTCTAGAGACGGCGGTTGATAATATACCGATCATTATGCGGGTCATGCGTTGGGTAACTACGGTGCAAAGTTCTAGACGAGCGATGGATGCGTTGTCTATCGTATCGTCCTTGCTATTATTAAGAACAGTAACGCCCAACGCACGTTCGAACCATCAAGTTTAAAAAAAGCGGGGAAACCTTCGTCGCTTGAACGGTCAGTTTGTCTTGAGCGGTGTTGCATCAACATGGTCTCTTCTGTGTCGAGCATCATGAGCCGGAAGAGCTTTAGCATGGCAACGGCGCGGACGAGCTTCGCGACCTTTCAACTTAACAAGCCGGGCCAGCCCAAGCGCCGGAACCAGCACCGCGTCTACCTTCGCATTCTCTCCAACCTCACTGCGGCCACAGTCGTGCTCATCTCACTCGTGACCATGATCATCCTGCTCTCAGAAGGCATGTTTAACCGGCTCATTCTCACATGGTTCCACCAAGACAACACCGACTACTGGAACGCCTTTGGCACCTCGTGCGTCCTCACGAGCCAAGGCTTCGTGCCAGGCTCTTGCTCGGCGCTTGAAGTCAATATCACTGAAACTGGCGCGGCGTGGGGAGGCCTCGGAATCCAGCTCGCCAAAGGATGGCAAGTGCCTCTCGGAACGTCGCTCTACGTCACGACGTGCTTTATCGGTGGAACACCTGCTATCGGGTGGGCTGCGCTCCAGTTCATCGGCGGCTACGATACCTTTCCCAGCTGCATTCTCACCAACGGCAGTCAGACCATTGCCGGTATGGCCATGGTCGAAGCCGTCAACGTCGATGGTGCCACGGGCGCGTACTTGCTTTCGATGTTTGCTGATGCGGCACAGCCCGCCACTGTGGTCTACACCAACACGGACAGCACGACCGGTAATGTCATTGAGAACGTTCCCCACATTCTCGTCGAACGGAATGGGTCTGCGCGACCCTATCCGAGCGCTATGGTCTCGGTCCTCAACTCGCACCCCCTCGGCAATCGGTACCTCGTTCAAGGCTATTGCATCTCGCAGTTCATCGACCTCGGCACCGATACCGTAGCGTTCAAAGGCTGGAGCACAGGTCGCGACTCCCAAAAGAACGTGGTTACTGGTTGGGCCTGCGGCCACCGCGTCGCACACGCCACCGAGCTCCTCCTCTTGCAAGCGACGGCCGGTCTGCTTTCGATTCTAGGTCTCGCACCCGACATTTACATTACAATCAAAGGCCTCCAAGGTGTCATGTCCAGCAAGCCCGTGCTGACCTACGACATTCTCTCGGGACTGGAGCGCCGCAAGACACTCCTCCTCTTCGTTGTGCTCTGCTCTGCGCCTTCTCTGCTCTTTGTGGACGTCGCGCGCATCTACTTTGGCACGACCAACGGGCTTCGTATTTGGACCTTCTCGATCATCTCGCTGGGCATTTTTTTTGCGTTTGGGAGCTTTCTGTGCTTGACCTTCTTGCAGTACATTCCCAGTCTACCCAAGCTCCGGCATCGCTTACTGCCCATCTCGGTCTCTGTGTTTTTATACGCAGCGATTCCTGCGATCGCCTTGAGCATCAACGGGTCGTGGCAGATTCTGTGCAACCTCTTTTACGCAGGGACACCGACAATTGTCATGCATCTGAACGGCAAGGCGTATCCGTGCGCGGCGTACGAGACGTCGGGTGTCGAGCCCGCGGCAAGCTACTTGTTGCCGTGGATTGTCCCCGCTCTGGTCATCTGTCTTGGGCTCGGTGTTCTTGTCGCCGTTAGCAAGCTCTACTACTTTCAGCATCGCTGGCTCCTCGACGCGCAGTGGGCGACGGGAAGCACGTTCCTCACGGCCTGCGGCCTTCCCCGCTGGTTTACAAGCTTACCGCTCGGCCGCCACGAAGCCATCAAGATTGGCAACCGCCTCTTCTGCAAGCCAAGCATGCAAGCTCTCCTAGGTTTTGCAAGCGTCACGCCGCAAGTGCCAGCATCAAAGGCCAAGTCCGACGAGAGAACCTTGCATCTCGTAAGCATCTACGACCTCCTCCTCGCAACGGCGCCAGCATGCGTCTATACGCCCAAGATATACGGTGACGTTGTCAAGAACGAGCTCAAGCCGCCGTCAACGAAGCGCTTGGATCGACGCGCCTCGTATGAGCACTCGCGCGGCTCGTGCGTGTGCTGAGCCGTCTGCGTCTGCCACGTCATCGTGAATAGACTGTATATTTCTTACTAATTCCGTATTTGGCATCACATATACCGATTTATTCCCGTAATTTGCATATTTTACGGTTTTCGAGAGAACGAGAATGAGTCTGGACGACCTGCACACGGAGACGGCCGAGTACCCGCTCCACGACGCCGCCCGTGAGAATGACTTGGCGGCCTTGGAGCGCGCACTGGCGTCGACGCCCATCGATGCGCTGGACCAGTACAAGCTCACGGCGCTGCATTGGGCGTGTGACCGCGCGCAGCCCGACGCCGTCGCGTGGCTGCTCGCCCACGGTGCCGATGCCAATGCCGTCGAGCGGAGGCTCTTCAAGCGCCGGCCGCTTCACTTTGCAGCACTTGGCGACGCGAGCTCGAGTAGCATTGTCTCGATGCTGTTGGCCCACGGCGCGGACCTCGAGGCCACCGACCATTATGGCCGCGCGGCGCTCCACTGCGCCGCCCACAGCGGCAACATTCCGGTGCTATCGTGTCTTCTCGAGCACGAAGCCAACGCGAGAGCAACGACGTCGATGGGTCAAACGGTGCTCCATGTTGCAGCTGTGAACGGCCAAAGTCCGGCCGTGGCCTTCTTGGGAGAGAGGCTGCCCGACATCGTTGCCTTCGTGGATGCGAATGGGCGAACCGCCATGGACCTCGGCGCTGTGTGGCTACCGCGCTCTGCCACTGAATCAAACGGCCACCAGTACTAGTTGAATATATCTCTCGTCCTCATTGAGTTGAGGTTTCGTGGTAAACCGTTTGACTTCTTCACAAACCGGTGCATCAATGAACACATAGTACGTACTATCAATCTGTCTACCTATCCATCCACCTCTCCAAGAACAAAATGTACTAGCATATTACAAGCGGCGATTGCTTATCACGTGGCACAGACAGTCAGGGCACAGACGACGCTTTTTTTGGTGGTTGGGCATGAGACCGACCACATGCGTTTCGTCAATTTCGTCGAGTTATGTTTAGCGAGTCCCCTATAGAAAGGCACCAATTCTACTTCCACCGGGCACCACCATGACGCTGCGAACAACGCTCTCAAACACCGCCATGAGCATCTCCAGAAGGGGCAGTGCTGTGAGCTCGTCCGCGCGCAAGTACGATGCGACCAAGCGTGATAGCATGCGTGTCTGGATGCGCATCATCGCCAACCTCGTCGTCGTCGCCGCGATCTACGGGTCGCTCTCGTCCATGTTCATCCTCAGCGCCCTCGGCGCCTTTCGCCGCAGCCACCTCACGTACAGCTTTCAAAACGACGGCTGGCGCCCCGTCTCGCAGTCGTGTCTTCTCACGTCCGATGGGTTTGCTCCCACCTCGTGCTCGTCCGTCGAGTCGAGCTTGCTCGCGACGCCCGCGGCCTGGGTCGCCACCGGCAATCAGCTCGCCAAGTTGCTCCAAGTGCCGCCACAAACCCATTGGAAGGTCACCACGTGCATGGTCGGCTGCACGTCCAATGTGACGGACACGACACCTGCGTCGCTGCAGCTGCTCGTGGGCTACGACGTCTACCCGCAGTGCAATCCGAGTGAGGGCAGTCAGTTTATCGCGGGCATGGTCTTGCTGGAAGGCGCCGTGGTCGACGATATCTATCCCCACGGCGCGTACCTCTTGACAGTATTTGCCGATGCCAGGCATATGAACAAAACAACCTTCTTCATCAACGACGACAGCTCGACCACGCGCGTCATTCTCGGTGTCGAGCGCGCTCTGATTGGGCGTGACGGCAGCGCGCAACGCTACCCCGAGGGAACGAACGCTGTCATCAACTCGTATCCGCTCGGGCCCCGGTACTCGGTTCGCGCGTCCTGCGTCGCTCAGATCGTCGACATCAGCGACCAAGTAAGCAGCCAGCGCGGCTGGAGCACCGGTCGCGAGTCGCAAAAGTCGGTGGTCACTGGAAAAGCGTGCGGGCATGTGGTCTCCAATTCGATCGAGCTCGAGGCGGTGCACGCCATCTTGGTCATCATCACGGTCGTTGGGCTCGGCGGCGACATGCTCATGACGTTTGAAGGCCTCAAGGGCGTCCTGCAGCACAAGCCGGTACTGACGTACGACATTCTCACCGGCGTCGAGCGGCGAAAAGGGCTCCTCTTCATCGGCGCGATCAGCGCGTTTCCGGGACTGCTCTTCTACGATATCGCGCGCATTTACGCAGGGCGGTCGATCGATTACTGGCTCTGGCTGCTCTCGATCCTCACGCTTGGCATCTTCATTGCGTGGTTTGCACTCTTGCTCTTTCTAAGTCTCCAGTTTGTACCGAGCCCAGCGTCCATTCGGCACAAGCTCGCGCCGTGGTCGCCCGCGGTCTTCATCTACAGCGCGATCCCGGCCATTGCGCTCAGTGTCTATGGCTCGTACGAGAGCTTGCACTCGTCGTTTTTTGCGGCGCAGTCGCTCTTGCACATGAACGTCTCGGGGCGGCTCTGTGGCTGCGGCGCATACGACGCCAACAGCATCGAGTCGGCGACGACGCTGACGCTTGGTAACATTCTTCTGGCCGTTTGCTGCTGCTTTCTCATGAGCATCCTCTATGCGATGGCCAAGCTGCAGTTTTTCCAGAAAAAGTGCCTCCTCGATACGACGTGGACGAGACAGAATGTGTTCTTAGCTCAATCGACCATGCCGTACTGGTTTACGGGCCTCCCATTGGACCAAGCCGATGCGATCAAGATTGGCAACAAGCTCTTTTGCAAGCCGAGCATGCAAGCCCGCATGGGCCTCGCCGCGGTCGTCGTGGCGCCCGAGATGCGACGCATTCTCGTCGCCAAGGAGGCAAAAGTCATCGACCCCGGGCCCGAAGACGTGGTTTATCTCGTGAGCGTCTACGATCTTGTGTGGGGCATTCTTCCCCGGTACCTCCGGCTGTACATGCCGCAAGTGCAAAGCGAAATCGTCAAGAACGTGCTCACGGCGCCGACCAAGAAGCGCCTCCAGCGCCATAAGACATACAAGTACAGCCGGGGCACGTGTGTTGGATGACAATCGTGTGCATTGCTACATGGAAATGACAAGTTGTACGATGTGGACTTGAACATTCTTGCGCGGACAAGGCCCGTACTAGTAGCGTAGCGATCCCTTGTGTGTTCAGGTGTCGACATCGATGTAGACAGAGATACGTAGTAGAAGGGTAAGGTAGCTCAAGACGGGTATAAATGATCGTCGCTGGTGCTGAGATTGTAGTTGTCGCGACATTGCCGTCAAGGCTAATTGCGTGCGTCTAGCCTTGGTCATGACGTGGCACTGCGACCCAGCGCCCAATCACAGTGCGACTGCTGGCACCGTACCCGGTCCATGATTGGTCAAAAGCATCGAATCGAACGTCCCAGCTCGTACCCCATTGGGTAAAAAGAATGTTCGAGGGTTGTTTCAACCAATGGCCTATCGGCCTGCCACCCCGTGCCTGCCACTGCCCAAAATGTCGCCCGAAGAGCTCACGTTCACCCTCGTGCTTGTCTCGCTGTACGTCGTGCCCGCGACCTTCTTCGTGCTGCGGCGCCTCTTCAAGGACCCGCGCGGCTGCTGGTCCAAGTACTTTGCGCTGCATTTGCTCTGCCTCCTCGTCTCGTATGTCTTGGTCGTCGAGCTCTACCGCGTGATCGCGGCGAGCAGCGTCCCGACGTTCGACCCGTACGACATCCTTGGCATCCGTGAGTACTCGACCAAGAAGACAATCCGGAAGGCCTACCGCGCGCTGAGCAAGCAATTGTATCGCAATCCACAGGCTCCTGTCCAGGAGCTCATCATGTCCACACTGTAGTCACCCGGACAAGCAGCTTGGCGACTCGCTCGCCGCGTCCAAGTTTGCGCTCATCGCCAAGGCCTACGAAGCGCTCACGGACCCCGTTGCGATCAAAAATTTCAAGAAGTTTGGCCACCCGGACGGCCCGTCCTTTCACTTGATCGACTTCAAGGCGGTAGAATACGAGCTATCAAGGTCGCTCACGTACTAATACCGATATGCAGATGAGCGGCCAAGCCGGCATGACGATCATCGCGCTGGTCTACGGCAGCATGGCGCTTCTCGGCGTCGCGATTGCGATGCTCAGCGGCGACAAGTACAAGCCCGAAGTGCACATGGAGAACGTCGAGCGCTCATGGCGGGCTGGCACGACAAGATGTCGGCGTTCGAGATCCTCAACCGCTGCATCCGCGAAGTCAAGCAGCCGCTTGCCGAGAAAGCTGGCGGGGTACTTACCTCCAATGTAGACGCGCCCGATTCCCATTCTCGTGTTAGGACTGCTGTGGCGGCGGCGGCTCGCTGTACGAGATGGACGCCGAGGTCGTCGCGTTCCTGGACTTGCTCGAATCCAACCAAGTCATTTCGACACTGGAGCACCGCGACATTGCGCGCATTGACCAAGACCACGTCAAGCGCGACATGGTGGCCCTCTACTATTTCTTGAACGAACGCAAGGCCAAGGAGCTCGAGCTCACCGTGCCTTGCGCCTGTACGATTACGGCAGCGTCCCCACACACACACATGTCTCATGCTGGCGTAGTGCACACGCGCATCACGGACATTGTGCTGCAGCTCCCGTACTTGATCGAGGTACCGTCGCCGTCGGTTTGTCTTGGTCTGAAGTAGGGCTAGGTGTTTGTCGAATTTTCCATCAAAGTGGCGGCCGAGAAAAAGTCGGACGCGACCACCGTCCTCACGGCGCTGCGGCTCCTTCCCGCACTTGCTCAAGGCAGCTTGACGGTCGACGCCGCCGCCATTGCCGCCCAACGCCAGCGGCTCACGACCGGCGGCAAGGTCCGTGCACAAAATATCTTTCCGTCTCCAAATTTTGAGAATTTTGAGAATTTACCGATTAAACTAGGTCCCATCGCTCAAGCTCAACAACGTGGCCCTGCGTGTGGACGACGAGACTGATGTCTTTCCGCGGGACTGGGTCACGCTGCACCTCCAGCTCGAGCGATCGCACGTGGCTGTCGGGGCCACCGCGCCACTCGCGGGCACCCTGTACGACAAGAAGAGCAAGAACCACGTGTACCGGCGCGACCACGCGTGGGTCGTGCTCCAGAACGCGTCGACGCACCACCTCCTTGGCGCGTGGAAGATTGAGGACGGCCACCACGCCGTCACGGACGCGCTTGGCTTCTGGGCACCTCCCATCGTTGGTACATTTTTGTTTTGCTATTTGAATGGTAATTTTGATATGATGATTGTTTTAGGCGACGTACTCATGGACCTGCGTGTGCTCTCAACTGTCTATCTGGACACCGAGTGCCACGAGTCGCTCCGCATGAAGGTCGTCTCGGCCAACGCGGTCATTGAAGAAATCACGTCCGACGACGACGCCTAGTTGTCGGTGTTTTATAACGTTAAAGCAATCCGTACGTGTGTTCGAATCTGTACACGAGAGTTGCCGCAATGCGTTATGTGCGTACCAGCAAAATAGTCTACTTGAACTCTACAAGTTGTAGTTGGACAACTTGTCCGTCGCTTGAGCTGCGCCGCACTGGGTATGATGTCGTACTACTCGCATGTTTGTGGTGACTTGAGCGATGTCGAAGAGAGTCCTGAACAACATGACAAGATGGTTCATGGACCCTAAAGAGTTGGTGTTCGTTTCGATATTGGGGCCAACGTGGTTGCGCGGTGGTTGCCTTTCTGCGCAAAACGAACTGGTGCTGTCCTAACCTCCATCTCAAAATAGCTCGTCGCCTGTCTAGCAAGGACGCCGACATCAGCATGGTCGCACCGTCGAGCAGCGGCGTCATCTTCTCGGGCTTCAACCTCTCGAGTCTCCTCACAGGCGGGTTTCATCACAGCCACGCGGCACCGTCCGGCGGACCCGCGGCTCCGTCCGGCGGCCACAAGAAGAGCCCGGTCACCAAGCGTGTCTGGCTTCGCATCGCATCCAATCTCCTCGCCGCCAGCGTTCTCTTGTCGTCGCTGGTTACGATGCTCGTGCTGCTCGCCGAAGGCATGTTTGACCGGCGCGTCGTTCAGTTCAACTACCAGAACGACGCCGGCTACTGGCGGCCGTTCCAGCAGTCCTGTCGCCTCAATGCACAAGGCTTTGTGCCCCACTCGTGCTCGGACGACGAACGCGCCGTGCTCAACACGGTCGACGCGTGGTCCGCACTGGGCATCGAGCTCGCGCTTGCGCTCCAAGTGCCCTCGACCGACGTTTATTTTGTCACGACGTGTCTTGTCGGGTGTTTGGACGAGACGCAATCCGCCGAGCTGCACTTGCTCGTCGGCCGCAATGCCTTCCCAGCGTGCAAGCCGGTGGAAGAGCAGTCTGTGCTCGGGATGGTCATGGTCGAAGCCGCGGTGGTTGACGACGTCTTCCCGGACGGCGCCTTCTTGGCGACTATCTTTGCCGACATTGCGGCGCGCGAAAGTGTGACGTACATCAACAGCGACGGCACCACCAACGTTGTGCTGGACAGCCCGACACGGGTTCTTGTCGGCCTCGATGGCACGACAGAAATGTCTCCCGATGGCCTCAACTCGATCATCTTTTCGTACCCGCTGGGAGCTCGCTACTTTGTACAGTCGCGCTGCATCTCTCAAATCGTCGACATTTCGCTGCTCTTGGAAGACCAAGCGGGCTACAGCGTCGGCGAAACCTCCGGCAGAGCCATCGTGTCGGGCTGGGTCTGTGGCCACAACGTCTCGAACGCGACCGAGCTCGTGATGCTGCAGTCGGCCGCCGCCATGGCATCCTTTGGTGGAATTGCGGCCGATCTGTACATTACAATCAAGGGCCTTCGCGGGCTGCTTCGGCACAAACCGGTCTTGACATACGACATTCTTTCGGGCCTCGAGCGCCGCAAGATGCTGCTTCTGCTCATCGTGCTCTCGGGCGTTCCGTCGCTCTTGTACGTCGACGTCGCGCGCATTTACTATGGCACGGACAATGGCGGTCGCATCTGGGTGCTTTCGATCCTCTCGCTCGGTATCTTCATCGCGTTTACCGCTTACCTCGGCATTGTGCTCTTGCAGCTCGTACCGAGTCCCCGGCACCTGCTCCACCACCGCCTCCTCCCGTTCTCGACCAGTGTGCTCATCTACGCTTCGATTCCGTCCATCGTCCTCACGGTTTACGGATCGCACGAGTTCTTGAGCAACAGCTTTTACGACGTGTCGGGTGTGCTGCTCATGCACATTGGAGGCAACGAATGCGCCTGCGGCGCGTACGACACGACCGGCGTCGAGACCGCCACCGCGTACCTCTTGGGCTCGATTGCGTGGGCGGTCGGCGGCTGCGCAGTCGCCAGCGTCCTCTACGCGATCTTGTCCAGCTATCTGCGCAGCCAGATCTGGTATCTGCGCACCGAGTGGGCCAAAGACAATGCATTTATGCGCGCCTGTGGTCTGCCGCACTGGTGCTCGGGTCTTCCGCTCGACGAGGCGGACGCGATCCGCATCGGCAGCCGCCTCTTCTGCAAGCCCAGTATGCAGGCGCGCATGGGCTTTGGCACGTTGCTGCCATCGGCGCCAAAAGCCCGCGCGGTGCTCGTTCAAGTACCAACCACGGGCGCCGAGGAGCCGACGTACATGCTCGTAAGCATCTACGCGCTTCTACCCGCGCTACTGCCGCCGTCGCTTCGACTCATCTCGCCGCGCCTCTTTGGCGACATCAAGAAGAATACCTTGAGCCAGGCGGGCACGCGCCGCCTGCGACGCGGCACGCGGTACGAGCAGAGCGATGGCACGTGCGTGGGGTGAGCTGCGAGCTCGGTCTCGACAGACAAGACATTGTCTGCTGGCCCTGCATCATGTGAAATTGCGACCTTGTACATGCGGCGAGAGCGTCGAGGCGATGCTGTAGTCTTGAGGAGACATTGGAAGAAGATACACTTGTTTTCGAGGTCTCTTCTCTGTACGCCAGCCTAGAGAAGGCGAAGGTGCTGGCCAAGGGCGAAGCTGTAGAGCCGAGAGTCGATCGCGTCGCCATGGGTCGTCTCGCGGGCATGGAGCGTCTCGAGGAGCGTCGCGAGAGGCGCATGGAGCACTTGGATCATCTCGGTTGCTTCCAGCGCTGGCGTGGGCGCGCCGTCCGACGTGACGCGGGCCACGACGAAGCGGCAGGTGCTGCTCGTCAACCCTGCAGTGCGCTGCATGCGCCTTGGTGCATACTACAGTAGGGCATCGTACCAGGATCGCTGGCAACGACAGGGCCGATCGAGACGATCTCCGAGACATCGTAGCCCGTCTCTTCCTTGATCTCGCGCTGCACCGTGGTTGCGACCGACTCGCCGGCGTCAATGAGCCCCGCCGGGAGCTCGACGATCCACTTGTCTACAGCAATATAGTACCCGTCGTACATGCCATTGATCGATGTAATGCAGGGCGCGTGTACCCAGGGGCGGGCGGAACTGCCGCACGAGCACGGCGACAGGCCCGGTCGGCGCCGAGAGCAGCGGGAGGACCACGACGGCGTCCGCGTCGGCGCTCGGCGGGCGCGTCGTCCGCTCGACGGCCGAGTAGGCCCGCTCGACGCCGTCGAGGTCCTGGTACGTCACCTCGAGGAGGCGCAGCCACTTGGTCGCGTGCAGCGCCTTGCGCCCGACGACCCGCGGCAGTCGCATGCTGCTGTTCTGTGATTGGCTAAAATGATTGTTTTGCCCCTACCCCGTCGCGTCCGGTTGTCCAACCGCAAGTCGTCCATCGCTCGACAGACATCTACCCATGTACAACATGTCACTTGGGCGGTTCCTATAATAACCCGGGGACGGCAGCGTCGTGGGAGGGAGACCGCCGGCCGAGCGCCCACGTTGCGCAGGCTCGAGCATCAACATCCATGGAGCGCGCGCTTCCACGTTGCGATTGATACTTGACAGGCTTGGTAGAAAAACATCAGCACCAAGCTGCACCACCAGTAGCCATGGAGTAGCAGGCGTCGTCGAGACGCGGCTGCGAGGAGTCCACCACGAACGATGTGTCGAGCACATAGCCATGGTACCGGTACACACTTACTGTACATGCAGCTCATGCTGCTGTCGATGCACCGCCGCCATCCATCCGGCGCACGGATCAAGCCCAACGATGGCGCAGCGTGGTACCATCGTGGCCGCTGAAAAGACGCTGCCGCTCGGGAGGGTGTTCTCGCGTAAAAGCTCGGTCACGGAACGCTATCCCTGTCCATAGAAAGGCCCTCGATATCCTTGCGGCCTCCCGGCTCCGTGACCGCAGATGACACCGCATGGCGACAGCCCCGATCTTGCCGCCACACTGCACAAGCGCCGTAGTACAATGTACTACATACCGTGCATCCAGAAGGGCTTCCGCTTGGCTCGTCCTCGCCTCGGATCTACGCAACAATACACGCGCTGTGCCCAAGCGCACACCGGCCACGATGGGCTAGCGGCTGCGAGGACCCTCTCGCTTGTGGCAAGAGCAACTTGGGCGACTCGGCGAGGAGAGGTGCACTCGTGGCAGCTGTGGGTGCCACCAGCACCCACGTCCTTTCTCTTCCTCACAGGTGCACGACGCACGCCATGCCGTCGACGACGCACTTGAGCAATTGCCATGCACCGCGCGCTGCAACTCGTCATTTTCGCGGCCGTTGGCACGGCCGCCGCCGCGAACCAGACGACGACGATGATGCCCAACGGCACCGACCCGCTGTACGAGAACCTGGCCGCCCGCTTCCGCGAAGACTACGCCGATCGGTACCAGAACTCGTCGCCGGCGCTGCAGCGCATCCCGGAGGGCGAGTGGTACGGCTGGGACTACAACTTTTTCGTCAACGGCCCGAGCTTTGCCAACATGGGCGGCCTCAGCAAGTTTACGTACGCGCTCTCGATGGACGGCCAGACGGTCACGTCGACGCCGACGATGCAGAGCACCGGCACGCACCACTGGCGGCTCCGCGAGGGCTGGCCGCCGTACCCGGACGGCAGCGTGCGCCGCGAGTGGGTCGTGCACCCGGACCCGAAGAACTTTCAATGCCTCGACGCGTGGTGGGACGGCCCGACGCTGCGCGTGCACGGCTGGGAGTGCGACAAGGCCAACTTCAACCAAATGTGGCTCATCGAGTACGACTCGGACTTGCTTTGGAAGACGGTCTTCATCCGCCCGCGCCACTCGCCCGAGTACTGCCTAACCGTCAACGGTCTCACGTCGTCGTACAACAACCCGTACGCGGTGGTCTTGGATAAGTGCACGTGGCGCGTCGAGCAGCAGCAAATCTGGGCCGTGATCCAGACGGAACCAACCGGTTGATCATCACCAAGCCGTTGAATAATCTACATAAGCTTATGCACGCGACAGTATGTCACTTCTTCTTGTGATGATGGTAGCTGTGCCTTGCACGCGAGTGCTGCGAGCAGGCGTCGTGATGAACGCACTACTGCGCACAGCGTCCAGCGGTCGGGTGAGGTCTTCAACCGCCGGGTGAGGTCTTCAACGAGCTGGTACGTATATCGATGGCCATCGCACACGTCGGGCAGCCGTATTTCCGAAGAAGAAAATGCACACGCGAGAGCCTGGTGCAAGGTATCATCCAGTCGCTAAGACCTGCGTGTACGAAACGAGTTGCTCGGGATGCATCCGTCGTCTCAGCAACGACAAGAAGGCTGTATGGATGATCAAGAAGAAGACGCATCGCTTAGGACAACCATAGTGCATGTGAGGTTGCCGGAGCATCGATTCACACAAGGGTAGGTTGCCAGAAGCATATCGCGAGCTCAAACCGCTACCGGCTCGTGCTCGATGCGAGACTGACACTGGACCAGGCCTGCGATAGGGTGGTCTTCTCTTCTGTGGGTCCATGGGAGTTACCACCTTCACAAGTGCACCACAACCCGCTACGTGTTCATAGACTCCGACTATAGCCTTCCAGTCCAGAATCGACAAAACGGTAGAATTACGTGGCTTGACGAGCAGCACCCATCTGTGCCATCGTTAGTGGAACCAAAAACGTGTGCCCTTCATATCAACCGTAGGCCCTTGTCAGTGCCGTTGACTTACTACAACTACCTGTGCTAGGAAATGACGCAGCCGTCGTTGGTGTCGGGTTTTGGCGGTGCGTTGGCTCGCTTGGCCGCCTCCTCTTCGGCTTGCTTCTTGAGCCGCAGCTCTCGCCGCAGCATGTAGCCGTTCTGAATCTTGCTCGTGGCTTCGCGCCTAGAATAAAGGAGCCAGCAGACGTCTATCAACGTGGTATACCGTCGAATGCTCTCCATTTCACGCTCAAACATCTCTTCGGGGATGTGCGACCCGTAGTTCATGTGGATCTTGCCCGTCCAACGGCTCGTGCGCTGCGCGTGCACGCCATAGTGGTGCGCGTACCACACGTCTTCGTTGATGCCGTAATGACTGCCGCGTCTACTGCCAGCGTGAGCGAAACGAGATGCCGAGCAGCGTACGGCGCCGACGCCCGCGCGCTGGTCTGGCCTTTCGGCGAGTAGTGCGTCTCGCCGCGGTCGCGGTATGAAAACCGGTTGTCGTACTCTAGCGTCGGGTGCTGCTAGTGTGTTGTCTGGGATCGCATACCTGCGCGCTTGGCCGGGTCCGAGAGCACTGAGTTGGCTTCGCTCACCTTCTTGAAGAGCGCCGCTTTCTCCTATGATATGGTCCATCATGCCAAGGCGAGACCATGCGACGGTGCGTACGAGGTCGTTGCCATTGACGTCAGGATGCAGCTGCCGGGCTAGCAACTTGCATTGAGACTACGACGACGCGCCAGATCCGACAAGGTCGCGTACCGAGCTTGAGGTACGCACGCTTGATGTCCTTCTGCGTCGCATTGCTAAGTTACGCCGTCAGGAATCGGCCATACGTCTTCTTCTGCAGCGTACCGCGTTAGGTTCATCACCCGGTAGTAGTCCATCCCGGCGCCGCCGACCGCTTCCGAAGACCCCAAACCAATGTGCATGCACGCATCCGGATACATATGTCGTATCCGGTTGTCCACTACCGAGCCGCAGTCGAAGCCGCTTTTCGCAACATGGTCGACATGAAGAGACTACGGCGTGAAGCTCTGTCATTGTGCCGAGTTTCGTTGAGCTTCCAGTACATGTGCACACACTGTGGCAAGTTCACTGAGGTACCTCAATCAAAAAAGAGGGAATACATGGGGCTGCAGGCTGACCTGTGGAAGTTCCAACTACTCCGTCAGCTAATACCCTCGTATGACCGACCCATCCAGTCATTTCCCTTGAATGTTTCTTGGTAGACTCGATACGAAAATCGAGGAGCACAGATAGGCAACATCATCACGACACTTGAGCACTTTGTTACGGAGCAACCGACGATGCTTCGTTGCCATCGTCAAAGCTTGTGCGGGCGTACTTGATGGACACGCTGCTGGCGCGGTACCGCGATCGACGCATCGACTTGCTTGCGACCAGCGCTCGCGTGCGCTGCTGATGGCCCTTGCGCTTCTCGTCGTGGCTGGCTTCCGCACTCCGCCGAGCCTCTTCGAGCGCAATCGTATCTTCGTACTGGACTCGATACGCATGGCGCCGCGCCTGGTTGATGCGCATGCTGGCTTTTAGAAGGGTCTTCATGTGGCTGTCCAAGCGGAGCTACACATCCATGTAATATCGACTTGTAGTCTTCTTGCGCAGGAACCAACCGGCGGCAACGGCGTGTCGTTGGGGCCAATCAAAGCAAACAGCGGCAATTGCAGCAACGTCTCTGCCGATACCTCGGGGCCACCGCCGTAAAAAATGACTCGAAGCACATCGGCAGTCTCGATCGGGAGCTCGACCAAGTCGCCTTCTGCTGGCACGACAGCCGCAAGCTCTTGGCCGCACGCCATCTCATAGAGGCAGTGGCCAAAGAGGAGCAAATCGACATCGACGGCGCCTTCGAGCGGCACGGTCCACGCCCGCCACGTCGCGTCGCGCTCGAGGCCCAGCACGGTGTTGTAGATGTCGGCAATGCTAGCAACGCAGTGCGTGAGTCGTCCGCGTCAAGCTACGATGTACTACCGTGCGACGCCATTGTCAAGGATAATATTGGAGAGCTTCAAGTGCTCGCAGAGAATGCCTTTTTGCCGCAGCGCATCGAGGCCAAGCAGAATCTGTCGGCCGTAGCGCGCAACTTGCGGCCGTGGCAGCCCGGCGCCCGTGTGCTGCGGCGCGTACTTTTCGTCGTACGCTTTACGCGGATCGGCGCGCTGGAACAAGAGATCCTTGAGGCTTCCCGTCGACACAAACGGCTGTGCGACCAGAATGCCCGGGCGCTGCATGACCTCAACAGACGACCCTTTCTCGTTGGCGTAATGCACGTCGAGGGTCGGCAGAAGGTACGGGTGCTTGAGCGCGACAAGGAGCGACTTGAGCTTGTACGTCGTGAGCCCGGAAGATTGGTGGCACAAGAGACTCGCCTGCGTGGGCACGAGCGACAGAAGCACGCTCGCATTGGCGGCGCCCGAGAGGTCGGTACAGTCGACAAGGAACGAGTGCTTGAGCGCCCGCGACCCGATGCGGCGCAGGACGTGCTCGTCTGGGCGCCACGCAAAGAGCGGATGGCGCTGCGTGAATTTGCGCGCAAACAAGATCGCGCTCGACAAGGACATGTCCTCGATGGGCGCACCCATGTCAGCTGGTGGCTCTGCCTTGGTCGCTGCCTGCGCCGGCGCGGCTGGCGTCGATGCCGCCTGCCCCATGCTTCAAGATACGGGATGCTGCCCGAGTTGCTCGATGTCCTACTAAAGTGCGCTTTCTGGAACTATTTCTCAAAGTGCGTCCAAATCGTACTTCAAGAGGCGCACAATATAGTGTCGAATAAAACGCAACTCTATGGCTAAAGTTGGCTTGACACACGTCATTGAACGTGCCTTGTTGCGTCTTTTTAGTCGCGTGCGATCTTTTGGCCTCGAAATCGTACTTACAAAGCACGATTATGATGTTATATTCATGTGTTAACCTGGCAAAAACGTGATTATAACGTAATGCAACGTCTTGTAACACCTGTTAGTGCAAGGTGTTAGGATCGGGGTCTGTGTATGGTGGTCACAAAACTACGATTCGAGCATGAGCAAAGCTGCCAGCGCCAAAAAGGCCGATGCGCCGCCCGCCGAGAAGCCTGCGGCGAACGACACCACGCAGGCGGAGCGTGAGGAAGACGATGACGAAGAGGACGAGGCCCAGGAGTCGGACAAGACCAAGGCCGAGGAGACGAGCGCGATGAAGAAGCTCGACGGCAACGACGACGAGAATGAAAAGGCGATCGACGTCAACACGATGAAGCACCTTCTCTCGACGCTCAAGGCAGCCGAAGAAGCCGACAAGCAGGAGGCCCTTTCGCATGAGAAGGAGCTGGCCGCTGTCAAGATTACCAAGGACGACGTCGCGTTCTTGGCGGCCGAGATGAACCTTCCGATGGCGACCGCCGAGCGCAAGCTGCGCGAAGCCCAAGGCAACCTCGAAGCGTGTTTGAAAACGTTATTGCACCTCGTCTAATAAACTAGCAGCAACCGACGCCATTGATTCTACGATACTACTACTACATGCGTCGTCTGTACAGGCCGCTTGAAGGCTTCATCGGTCGGCGAGGACGCGGGACACGGACCTTCGCGCGCGCGCGATCGGCTGGCTCTCGCCCATGAGCGTCGTTCGCCGGTTCTTGTGGAGGTTGACCGCGTCGACGATCTTCTCGAAGCGGCCAAAGAGGGCGCCCGCGTCGTCGCGCGCGCCGTCCCGCGGGCTCAGCACGATCTTCTCCTTGAACTGGTTGACTGCATCCGCGAGCGAAATATGACGGGCATGTGCATACGGCGCGAACGCATCGAGCATCTCGGTGAAGAACTTGGTGCGCTTAAAGCGCGGGAAGCTGTCCTTGGTCACGAGCCGCGTGATCTCGTAGCGCGCCGGTTCAAAGACGGTGAGCTCGACCTCCATTTCATCTTCGAGGCCGCGGAGACCGAGCGATGCGATCTGGTTGATGATGCTCTCGCGCATGTTGTGGTCAATGTTGACCTGCTTGGGCGCGGTCGCGCTAATGTACGTCTCGCAAAGGAAGAGCGCCATCTCTCGCCGGGCGCCCATGGCCTCGATGCCCATGTACCTACATCATCCTGCATCGTCCTCGTGATCTTCATGAGCATCCTCGTCGTACGTGTCGAGGTCGATGAGGAAGAGCGCGTTCTCTTCGCTGAATTCCGCGCGGCAAAATGCCAGGAAAAAGTCGCGCGCCTTATGGTGCTGCATGACGTGCTTGAGCTCGACGAGTTCGCGCAGCCAGCGAATGTAAATCTCGGCCAAGACGACGGGTGACGTGCCAAGGATGCGGTTGCTCACGTCGCGCGTACACGTGAAGAGCACGCACGGCGTCTTGGCCACGACCGTGTGCTCGACCGTGGTCGCGTGCGTAAAGTGGGCAAACGTCCCAAAGTAGCTCCCCGGCGAGAGCACGGTGGCCATCTTGGAGTCGCCGACGACATCGCTCGCCTCGACGGACCCGCAAATGATGATGCAAAACTTGGTGTGGTACGTCTCAGGCGTCAAGATGACATCGCCGGTGCAAATCGTGTCTTCCACGACAAAGTGGTGCGAGAGTTCCATGAGCCGGTCCAGTTGGATGGCTTGGAAGAAGGGTACAATGTTGGACGACAACGCCTTCTTCATGAAGCGTTCTTGGAGTAAATGGCGCAGTTTGTTCTGCACCTATGGATGCGTCGACGATGAGGCATGTCTTGATAGTTTGATAGTAAAAGGACCTCGGGGTTGTCGTCGAGAAACTGCAGAAAGAAATCCCGCTCGATCGAGAGCAGCATTGCATGGTCGAGCACCTTGATCGTCGCCGCACGGGGCACGCGGGTCATGAGAGCCATCTCGCCAAAGCACGACCCAGCGTGAAGCGTGGCCAGTACGATCGACTGCCCGCTCTGGTTGGAGCTCACTTCGAGGGCGCCCGCGAGCGTGATGAACATCTCGGACCCTTCTTCGTCGTTTTCCCGGAAGACGACGCATCTAGCATCGCCATGCATCCGATCATCGATCGTCGCAACATGGAATGGTACCCCGGCGCAAGGACGCTGATGGTGGAGAGGTCGGCCAAGCGAAGGAGCTTTTCGTCGGCAATGTCGGCGAAAAACGATACGGACCGGAGCAGCGTGAGCGAGTCCGAGTTGAGGACGTTGTTGACAAGGTAGTAGACGTTGGACGCGAGTGCACTCGACGGCTTTTCCAGCGCAAGCAACTTGCTCCGCTCGAGCACTTGAATCGACGTGGCGCGATACGACTTGATGACGACTTCGTTGCCGTTGGTTTTCGTCATGCAAAAGCGGAGCAGGAACTCGTGCGACCCGCTGGTCGCGTTTGCCGACACGAGCATCTCTTCCGTGTCGATCGTAAACTGGCTCGACGCGTTCGGCGACCGGTTCCGGTCCTTGAAGAATCGCGAGACCGACAGATTGCCCTTGGCAAAGATGTGGACACCGGTAAACTTGCTCGACGCGCTCACGTTGAACGCGACGGACCCGAGCTGCGGCACGACCGCCGTGATCTTGCCGTCGTACAAGAGCGCGATTTTCGTCCGCGCGGAAATGATCGACGACCCGGGGAGCGCCGTGTGCGGCACGGACGAGACACCGAGGCTTTCAATGTCGTCTTCCACAAAGAGCGGCGAGAGGAGGCTCGAGCCCCAGATCTCCTGCCGCTCGCTCAGCGCCATGCGCGTGCACGTCCCGCCCATCTTTGCCACCGCTCGGAAACGGACCTGAGACTAACTTTAGCGCGGCCGCCACCGCTATACTAACCTCAAGTCACTTACAAACCGCTGATGGGAGAAAGGACGCGTGCGGTTTCGCCTTTTGGGACCGTAACCTTGTACCTCGTCGCATTCCCTCGCTAGCATGCGTGTTGAGCACGACCTGCAGCATCGATTTTTTTTACAGTTGTAGGTCGACGTTTGTACACGAAGGGCCAACGGTGTGGTGTTTCTTGGAGACGCGGTAGGAGCAACTGCAGTTGTGCCAGACAAGACAGAATGTCGTGCTGCACATTTTGCATGTCCAAGAACAATCAGGTTCAAGATAAGGAGCAAGCCACTGCAACATTCAACATTGAAGCTCAGGGTTGAAGCTGAAGTTATAAGCTTACTAGCGTGGCACAAATAATGCAGCTCTATCATTTCCATCACGAGCTCAAGCAACCAGCAAACAGCTAGCTGTGGCATTTTGATCGTCGTGGTCGTCTTGGGCTTCGCCATGTTGTTGTTGATGTCTTGTTGTTGTTGACGAGCTGTTGGGTTGCCCGTTGGTCTGTTGCTTCGCATTTGAACGTTCAAGATACCACAGTGGTTGCTTGAGCTCGTGATGGAAATTATAATAAGAACTGCATTATTTGTGTCAGGTTCGCAAGCTTGAAACTTCAGCTTTAACCCCGAGCTTTAATGTTGATTGTTGAAGTGGCTTGCTCCTTTATATGCACTTATTTTGATTCTGCTTGCTTTGGACATGCAAAATGTGCAACATAACAAGCACAGCAAAGTGTGAAAGCGAGCAAGGCAGGAAAGCGAGCATGGTAGGTGCCTGCAATGTTGGAGGGACCCCTTGCGGGGAGTTTGCTATCTGGAAACCGCCATCTCCGTTGTGCAGACCTACCATACGAAGACCACGCGTATGTAGGAGATGTGCATTGTCAATAACAAGTCTCTTGGCTCGATCACCGAGGTGTGCGGGGCATACGGGGGGTGATGGCAGTAAATAGTGGCTCCTACCACGCACATGCTTTCTCAAAAACGAAAGGAGCCAAGAACAACGTACAAGCAACAACGGTCGGCGGGAGACGGACCGGAGACGTCGACGCTTGCGTGGATCGTCGCGCACTTGGCTCAAAATGGTCGCAAATCGGCGGTGGACGTGATTGTCTTCGGGGTTTAAATCTGGTGGCGACGGCGAGCTTGGAACGGCGTGCTCAAAGAGTGGGTACGCCGCGAGTAAGGCTGCAAAGAGCGGCGTCTTCTTGAAGCGCGGCAGAGTGTCCTTGCGCACGAGCCGCAAGATCTCGTCAAATGCGCCATCGAACAACGACGCGATCGCCCCAGAAGGTGCGAAAAGGACCGGCGACGACGACAACGGTCGGCCGCTTTTATGCGCCGCGAGCGACACAAGAATGTCTTCGCGCATCTTGGCTTCGATGTTGACTTGTTGCGCCGCGCGTGCATCCACAAACTCGTTGCAGATGCTCATTGCGCGCTCGAGCGACGGCGAGAGCTTGAACTGCTGCACGGCGAGCAGAAATTCGATGTTTTCCGTGCTAAACTCGGCGCCGGCAAACTCCAGAATCGCCTTGCGTGCGTCCGGGAGGTTAAGCAGTGGCATCACGTCGATATTCTGTCGACTCAGTCGCAGCTGAATCGCGGCGACCGCCGCGCGATCAAAGACCATGTCCGTCGCAGCGTGGTCGCACGAGAGAAAGACGCATGGTGTTGCCGTGCTAGCTTCGCTGCCCCAGGGGCCTGTTGGCGGCAACGGCACGTGGCCAAACGAGCCGAAATACCCCGATGTCGAGACAAGTGATTTTTGCGTCCCGCCTTGGAGATGCTCGACGCTGCCTGAAAGGAGTATGCTAAACTTGGGCTTGCCAACAATTGCTACAAAAAATCGTAGAGACATAGTGTCCACAATACAAGAGACAGAATGTCTACAATGAAAAAACGTACGTAGCACGCTTTGGTGCGCGGGCACATTGTCTTCAATGTAGCAGTGCTGGGCCCACGCGACGAGACGCTCGAGCGGAATCGCACGAAAGAACGGCACGCTGCCTTGCGCCGCAATGTTGTGCACAAAACGTTCGCAGAGCATGCCTTGCAATTTCCGGTGGACTTGAGGAAAGTGCTGGAGAAAGCGCAGAAAGTTGCTGCCGTCGAGGCTAAGGAGCATGCACGCGGCTTGGGTAACGAGCGTCGCCGTACGAGCCATGTGGACCAGGAACGAGGTTTCGCCAATGCACGACCCGCTGTGAAGCACGGTGACGGTCCGCATCGTTCCTTGTGCCTAAAGTGGTGTACCTGAGTCCATCCAAATGGACAAAAATTGGCGGGATCGAACCGGGTCCGTTTTTTTAACCGCGATGGTTCCTGCCAATAGAATGGACATTTCTCGTCCACCGATTTCGCCTTCGGCCATGAGACGCTAGCATCGTTCGCTGCGTCGTGCGTTATGAGAAAGAAGAGTTGTTTATACCACGTTGGCATCAACGATGGAAATCGTGCCGAGATCTGCGAGCTGTGTGAGGTCGCGGGTTGAAATGTCTGCAAAAAATGGACTCGCGCGCAGGATGCGCACACAGTCTTCGCTGATCGCAACGCGCTCGTCTCGACTCGACCGGTCAAAGCTTTCAACCGAGGCAACCGGTCGCCACTTGGCCATTGTCGCCATGGCTGCTGGCGCCGACGCCGCATCGACCGAGACGGTCAGCGCGCGGACCTTGCCGTGCACGAATATGTTGGTGGCGAGGACCGACTTGGCGACAACATCCAGGTGGTTGCCCTTTGGAATCACAAACCGGAGGATGTACAAGTTGTCTACTCGATCCATGATAACTCGTCCATCCATGGCGCGCGTACCTTCGTGGGGATTGTGCGACCGCGTGTCTCGGACGCAACTAATGAGCACCTCGTCCGTCACAAAGCGCCGCACATCCTTTTGATCGTGGAGAAACTGAACGAGCGACTGCGCGTCCTCATAAGCTGCGGTCGCGCGACGCACGATCGGTTGAACGTGAAACGCAACGTCGCCGACACCGAGAACGGTAGCCGATATCGCTCCGTCGTAGATGAGGAGGCGGTCTAGCCCCGACGCGATCATCGCTGGGAGTAGCACGACATCGAGCGACATGCCTGAGAGCTGCAGCGGCGGCTCGACGCAAAAAAGCGAGGCGAGGATGCTCGACTGCCACACGGCGTCTTTCCGGCGTGTGTTGTGGTGCTTGGTGCGGACCAGTCGCGGCCCTTTTGCGCTCTCGGGCACAGGGTTCGGGAGGACTCGGGACGCACGGCTGCCCATGCTACGATTGCATGCGCTGTCTCTTCTATTTCTATGCAAATAACGCTCCGGATCGAGACAACATATTGTTTACTGTTCAAACGACCAAGCCAGCAGCAGACACAGTGTAGTCGACATGGCAGAATAATCGTTTAGTTGGTTGAAGCTAGATCGTTGTATGTCAACTAGGACGACGGCGCAAAGACGTTAAGGCGGGCGGCTTGATGGCGCACGAGCAGCGGCCGCACGGGTGCACTCGGAACAAACTGTTCGAGAAAGTACGCGAGCTCCAATGGCCCCGGCATCGGCGGTGCCATGGCTTGGAGCTCGGCGTGGATCTCCTTCGCAAGAAGGTGCGTGAGCGGCTCGTCTTCGATCGTGCGCTGCGTCTCTTCCTCGATGCGTTCGTTGAGTTGTCTTGTATCGTACTACCCACGTAGAGATTGATGACAAGTTGTCCACACTTTGTGTTCGACCTCCATGTTTTTGATGAGCGACATGTAGCACACGATAAATTTGTGGACAATGCTTGCAATGGTTTGGCTGCAGTCTTGCTCGAGTTGCTAAAATAGGTTTTTGAGATCTTCCAGAGGTCGGTTTGGAAGAAGAGACCTGCTGGTTGAGCTCGATCGACTCGAGCGACCGAATGTAGTCGCTTGCAATCTTGCGAAAAGCCTTGTACTGGGATGCGCACGTCGCCTTGGCGACCTTGGACGCGCGAATCTGGTGCGCGATGTGCTCGACCACTTTGGTTTCCTTGCCCGTGCGGATCTCGGCGCGGTCGTCCGAGTCGAGGATCTCGAAGATGTACGGGTCGATACCGCCTTTGTTCATGCCGGTTTCGAGCGCTTTCGCCGCCGACTGGAACGATACGTCAAACGATTCGAGCGATGCGCGGTACTGCGTCTTCGTCGCCTACGCTATTGCATATGCATACGCTATCGATGGTCGGCGAGCACCTCAAAGATGCGGTTGCGCTCGGTCGCGTCGGTCTGCAGCGTCTGCAAGCGCTCAATGTGGCGCTGGAGCTCTTGCTCGAGCTCGTCAATGTCCAGCGGCAGGTTGATGCACATGGCGTCCTGCGCGCTGGCGACCTGGGCAAAGAGCGCTGAGACGCGTGCAAGGATGAGGCCGCTGCCATGGTACGTCGTCGAGGCCGGCTGCGCCGCCTCGAGCTGCGCGGTCGCCTGCTCGGAAAAGTCGCGCAGCTCTTCCTTGTGCTTGGTCTGGAGGTCCACGAACTCGCGCAGCGTTGTGGCCAGCACCTTGGTCGCATGGATCCACTCGGCCGTGTTGCTGAAGGCCCGCGCTGCCCGGTCCGTCGCCATTTACTGCAGCGATTTGGATTTGGCTCGCCTCTTGTGATTGGCTTATTTTGTTCTCCGGTTGGTTGCGTGTTTTGTATTGGTTTTATAGTATTATCGATATATCACTTGTTGTATGTATGTCTTATTTCAATCACAGAATACTATTATGGATCCCGTCGCTGCCTGCCCGTCCACATACAAACATCAAGTCTATCAGGTGAGCGATGAAACGGCACGCGCAGGCTAGGAACACGCAACTTCCATCCAACTTCCTAGTAGAGGCACCGACGACACAGCAGCTCAAAGCTCTCAACCGAACGATCCAAGCCGGTTGAACACCATAGGACGAAGGCAATGAGAAGCGTAAAAATGTACAGAGCTCCAGCTCCTGCAGCGCCTGTCGTCCTGTCGACCAATCTTTTTATTATTTCGTCTCAACACTCGGTGTTTGAATGCATTGTAGCAAGGTGGGAATAAAAATATAGAAATGCAATCTGGCGGCCAAGCTGCCACGTCATGTTCTGGCCTTGGCAGTTGATCATATTTATCAATCAAACGTGTTCGCGTTGAAACCAAATTAGCAAAAACGAATTTGAAGACTTCGCATACGTAGTGCTACGCCTGAATGCGTGCGAGTTGGCACCAGCACTTGGTCGTTGGGAGTGGGCTGCGCACCTTGATCATATTTTTCAACGTACAGGCGGTTGCCATGGTGCACTCTCTCACTTTGCCTTTTCGCCCGTCGACACCAGTCCGTTCAAGCCATGCAAGCCGCGCGCAACCACCGCCACCGCCGTGACGTCCACACGGCGCCGTTTGACCTCGGCGCCTTGCGGTGCTACATCACCAACAACCGGGTGCACGAGGCCGCGATCGAGCTCAACAAGGTCATTGACACTCGAAACAACGGCTTCCACGACGCCCAGGTACGCCGTCCTCTCGCAAAACGATGGCGCTCACACTTGCATTGCAGATTCGTGAAATCTACGGCAGCGACGGACGACTGCGGAACTCTATTCTGTTTACGATTCTACGCCATCCAGCAACCAAGGAGCTGCTCAACCACCCAGTCATGCGCCAAGTCGAAAACATCAAGTGGCAGGTATGTCCTTCCTCCCGCATTCTACAGGTTTGTAAAGCACATCTCGTAGAGCTTTGCGTGCTGCATGTACATGCAGCAGCTCATGCTCTACCTCTTGCTGCTGACGACGCTGACGCTTGCAGTGACGATGGACCTGAGCGACGGCGAGTCGCCCAACTTCCATACCCAGCTGCTCGTCTGGTTGAATGCCGGCGTCGCGCTCGTGCTCGGTCTTGCTGCGACCAACTTTTTCCAGTACGCCAACCGCAAGCGCTGGGCCTTCCAGTCCATCGCTGCCATCGGTCTTGTGCTCTTTGCGCTCCATTTCTGCTCCGATCTGATCGCTGCCCGTGTCAACTGGATCTGGTTTGTGCGCTGCAACAACCTCGTGCTGACGTCCACGACGCTGTATTATATTCGGCTTGAGATCCTCGAGCTCGTCAGCGAGGTCAACGTCGACGCGAACCCGACCGTTTTGCAGCTGCTCGAGGTCGCCGTCGAGGCCATTTGCGATTTTTTCCTCATCTTTGTCGGGCGCAACGCGGCACACTACTTCAGCTCGTTCTTCAACAAGGTGAAGCTCCCGACCTTTGTTGCGATCCTCGTCTTCGTCGTCACCGAGACCTTTTGCCCGTTCAGCGACGACGTCCGCCTCTACTTCGGCATCATCGTCACGTTCGCCTCGTGGGCCCTCGGGGTTCAGTACCTCGAGATCCACAACACCGCCGGGTACCTCATCTCGCTCATGACGTTCACGCTCAACGACGTGGTCCAGTTCATGGCCATCTACCCCCCGTTCCAGTGCGCGTATGCGATTGCGTACTACCTCCTTTTCGAAGGCCGCGACGACGTTGACGCCTACGCGACGATCGCCCACAGCTTTGTGACCACCTTTCTTGTCATGCTCGGCCAAATCGACCTCGATCCGTTCGAGGACCTCCCGGGGCTGGGCCAGTACGTCCTCGGCTACACGCTCCTGCTGACGCACGCAACCTTGGTCATTGTTCTCTTCCTTAACGTGCTCATTGCGATGCTCAACAAGGCGATGGACCATGTCGTCATGGAGATGGCCATGCTCGAGGCGCGCGTGAGCTTCGCCGAGTGCATCATCCGCAGTGAAAAGACCATCGGCCTCCGCGCGATGCCTGTGGTGCCCACGGACGAGACAATGCCGCTGGTCCGCCATCATATTATGCTCGAGGTGGAGGCCGCCGCCGCCGCCGACGGAGACGTGTCGGACGACGACGTCGAGGTCGACAACGAGACCCAAATCGCCGCGGTGTACGCCATTGTCCGTGAAGAACGCGCCCGGAATGATCGCCTTGAAGCCATGCTCCGCACTTTTGCGCAGCACTTTAATATTGTCGTGCAGTAAATGTTGGTGATGCGCGAATTCTTTTCCTTCATAAATTGAGTTGTATCTTATGCATACTTCAACGAGATGATCTTCGAGGACGTTGGCCACCTCGACGCCCTTGGCGACGTTGCGCACCCGTATTTGTTATCTTCTTCGTCCTCCTCACCTCTGTGCTAATCTAAATACCGGTAAGCGCATCAAAGTGGCGTGTGTTTAGCCAATAGGCATTTGTACCTCTCTCTCAAGTGCGTCCATGGATCTTGCATGCCGAAAAGCGTACTTGAGAGGGTCGCGACCACATTTGGATTGATTGGCGGATCATCCGAGCGGCATGAGCGCGATCGAAGCAACACCGCGCGGCCAGATCTGGATCATCAACAACATCCAGAAGCGCAAGAACATCCGCGATCTGCTTCTGAGCGCGGCGGCCTTTGGTGTCGTCGAGGCCTATGTCGTGGGCCACAAGCTCCTGAGCTTCGAGGCGGCGCTCCTCCAGTTTGCAGATTCAGGTTTCGAGCTGCCTTTTCCAATCACACGCTGCGCGACGCTCGTCGAGTGCCGGAGCCTCCTCAAGACGCAGAACCCGTCGACTCGAATCGTTGGCATTGAGATCCTCCACAACGCCAAGAGCGTCAACGACCCGGATGTGTTTACCGAGGCGCCGATGGCCTTTATGGTCGGCAACGAAGGCAGCGGGCTCTCGGACGCCCAAGTAGCCATCTGCGACGGGTTTGTCTACATTCCGCAGTACGGCGGCGGCACCGCGTCGCTCAACGTCACGGTCGCCGCGTCCATCATCATGCACAAGTACGCTGTCTGGGCCCGTCCGTCGGCCCATCGCAGCTAATAAAGCTACCAAGATGTAGAGCGGTTCATTAATATCTTGGGGCTGAGCTGCATCGCGTGCTCGATGAGGGCGGTGAGGTGCTCAAGTCGTGTTGAGGACGATACAGTTTAACGAAACAGGGATGCGGAAGGCTCGGTTTGGATGCGGCCGTGGATGTGGCCGTCGCTGTCAAGGCTACATCCGCTCAACCAAGTTTACTCACATTGCTCTGGGGAACGGGTGATTCGGGGCAGAATGCAATGACGTCACTTCATTGACGACGCCCAGGTGACGAGGTTCGTTGGTTCCTTGGGGATCCCAGCACCCATAAAGTGACCGACAGAATCCGAGAAAGCCGCGATCGAGCGCCATGGCACATCTAGAAACGTGGCAGCCACATCTTCGTGGTCAACCAGAGTAGCACAGACGGCCATGCCACCCGCAAATGCACAGAAGCTTCGGCTGCATCACTGCGGTTGCATGGTCCCGGCACACTTCGAACTTCGACGCCACCCACACCGATCTGATTTTCACTGCGAACTCGAGTTTCCCACCACACACACACACGCCGGCTACGACTACGGTTCGCATTTCTCGGGGCAGACTCGCCTTCCCCGTTGCCCTACGACATGTCGCTGTACGCAGAGCTAAAACACCCTTCGGTGACGCCATCATCTGCGCCGCCGCCATGTAGCTGTGTCGGCCACGCATTCGGCCACAGCGAGCACAAAGTACATACACCGAGGCCGCACAGTACACTCCACACGCTCCTGCATACTTGATGACGCCAAGAGTGATCGCTGCACGTCATTGCGCTGCGAGTTCGCACGCCATTCTGGCCACATACATCGTCACCAGCAATTGCGCTGGCCACAGTCGGCAACTGCAAGCTCCACTTCACGCACGCCACCATGTTCTTGCCTTGTCTACCGAAAATGCATACAAGTTATACAAGCCATACAAGGCATACAAGGCAGGATGCACTGACGGACAAGCGACCTCGCAAGAACGGTGCCACTGCGTGAACGATTGCTCCGCTTCCAGCCTCGGTTGCCACGTATTCCCGACCACAATCGAAGATTCCCCGCAAACTTCGAATCGCACCTGCGCCTGACGCTCGGTCGCCCAATCAGAAGCCGCGTGTCAAAGATTGCTTTCGACGCCAGTCACCAACTTGCCTCGTCCATGGAAATCCACTACCCGGACGACCTCCGGCCGCGCCGCCGGTTTACGTTTGAAGTCGACCAAGAGGCCAAGCGTGGCCGTACGTCCTCGACGCCATCGTGCCTACAACTCATCATTTCTTATTGGTGTAGCCTCGTGGGTCTATCCGGGCCTTGGCAACGCGACGGGCCGCCTTCACCCGGCGCCCGAAGAGCTCGCGGCCATCCACCAAGAGATGCACGCGCCCAAGCACTTTCTGTCCGAGTGGTACTCGACGGGCATTAGCGGCAACGACGTGCTCTCGAGCTGCCTCTACTCGTCCGGCATTGTGGCCTCGAAGGCCGGCAAGTTTGCGCCCTTCGCCAACCTCCTCGTCGCCTGTGTCATGTATCTCTTCCGCTTCATTTACGTCGAAGTCGTCTCGGCCATTCCGCTCAACGGCGGCTCGTACAACACGATGCTCAACTCGACGTCCAAGCGCGTCGCTGCGCTCACGTCGGCGCTCGCCATCATTGCGTACCTCGCCACCGGCGTCGTCTCGGCCGTCTCGGCGTCCGACTACCTCCGCAAGCAGATCGAAGACCTCAACCACATTCACTGCGCGACCGGCATTCTCGGGACCTTCGCGATCCTGAACGTCCTCGGCATGTCCGAGTCGGCCAAGGTCGCGCTCACGATTTTCATTGCGCACACCATCACGCTCGCGGGACGTTTCTCCGTCTCATCGATTTT